TTTAAGAGAATAATTAATAAAATTGCATACAGTGTTATTAAATTTATTTGATTTATTAAAAAATATACATTTAATATTTACTTCATCCATTAAAAAATATGAGGTATTTTTTATAAGGTTAAATATTAAAAATGTAAAATATTTTTAATGTTTTAAAGTACAATTAATGTGTTTTTTTTTTATACTTCTAATAAATAAATCACTTTAGATTATTTTAAAGTGAAACATTCAATTAAAAAGAATAAATATAGAAAAAAAATTGTGTTAGTTTGAAGACATTTTATTAAAAGTGAGATTCAATTATAAATATTTTATATTTTTTATAAGAGGAAGTATAAAATTATTCAACAATTAACAATATAAATATAAATTAAATTAAATTATAATATTAATATTTTAATATGTAAAGAATGAAAAGTTGAGGTTGACTCAAAAAGAAGAGTATCGTGATCGTCTGCAAATCATATCTCCTGAACACTTGGCAAGTCCGAAATTCTGACAAAATAATAATTGTTTCAACTGTAAAATTGATATTGAGAAGCAGGCGGGGGGAACTTTAGGCAAAACAAAGGTGCTTGGGTATGTTTGCCAAAACATGATTTTCCTACCATTAATTAATTTTAAAGGCAAATTCAAACAGGCACCTTATCAGCAGCCAAGACGCTGTAGATGAAGAAATCCCTAACCTGACCCTTACAAAAGCCATATTTCCGGAGCAATCCTTCTTTAACAAATCCTAATTTCTCAAGCACCGTCTGAGATCCTTTATTGTCAATGTCCACCAACGCCTCAATCCTATACAGATAAGGGAATTGCTTGAAGACAAGAGGGATAGCCATCCTTAAAGCCTCCGTCACTATCCCTTTTCCCCAGTGATCCACGCCCAATGCATAGCTAATGTGTGCCCTGCACCGGTCATCGCCGGACCCTGGCTTCGCCGACATGTATCCGACGGACCGACCATTCACACATATGGATCGACGCCACGGATGGGGCAATAGCAACCCTCTCTATGAATGACAGAGCTTCTTCTCTAGTTTTCAAGGAGCTCCAACGCAGGTATTGAGTCACTCTATCGTCACCCGCCCATTTCAGCACGTCTTCGGCGTCCGAGGGGTTGAATGGTCGCACCGATATTTCCGAGGCATCCATAAAATTGAGCTTTACCGATTGCGTTTTATAACAAATACGAAACAAGAAAGGGGGAAAAAATCATCCTATGAGTATTTAGTACTCGGTTTGAAATTATAAAATATTTTTTTAAAAAATTAAATGTTTAAAAGTATAAAATATTTTTAATTTTTTAATATATAATTATTATTTTTTAAAATACTTATTTAAATAAATCATGTTTATTTTAAGGTAAAACATCATAAATAAAAAATAAGATTAATTTAAAAATAAATAATTATTTTATTAACATTATAATTTAATTAAAAATATTTTATAATTTTTAATGGAGGCTTGGTACAGGTTGGTCAAGCAAGGCGGGCGGCAGCTGATCGTAGGGGGCAGAGAAGGCCCATATTAATTGAGATCCCATGTTCGGGCAAGGCCCAGCAATGCAAAGCCCTTAGCGTCAGGCTCAAAGTGAAGAAGAACGCTCCTTCTTACTCGGTTATATGTGTTAAGCAGGCGTGGGGACTTGAAGGCAGAGAAGACTCCTGAAGCGTTTCCCTTGGAATTTTATCTTTTCTTTTCAAATTAGTGTGGTTGTGTTAATTAAGGCAGTAAATCAACCACATTGTTCATCTAGTTTAATTGGTTTAATTTAAATTTTATATTATAATAATTATTTACACACACTTGAGATGTGTTTTATTTTATTTATTAATTCTTCAGTTCATAAATTAAATAACACAAGTTAGTCATCTTCATGTCAAAAAGCCGTTTTTTATAAAGATTAATATAATATAAAAATAAAATGAATGCATCAAATGTTTTAAATAAAAAAGCCTCCAACCACTTGCATGCACCAATAATGTTGAAATCGAATTAAATCAAATTTAACTTGTAAACATTTCTGAGTTTTGGCAAACAAAGTGTAATTTAATCCAGAGATTAGAACACAAATCCAAGTTTAAAAAAAAAATTGTCTCTGATTTATAGTCCAGAATATAGTTACATTTCAAAATGTCCAAACATTGCGGTATTAAAAAGGAAATGAATAAAATAGATTAAAAAATAAAAATAAAAATAAATAAACTAAATCACCCTTTCTTATAATAAAATTTATTAATATATATTATAAATGTGGAGATCATCACACTTTTTAAATTTTCATGAATTATAATTTTTAACCTTATGAATTAAATTGCATATCCTCCCTATGAATGTGTTTACATATTTTTATTATATCTTATTTTTATATTTATTTTTTAAATTTATTCTATTTTATTTCTTGCTCATAATCAAACGGGACCTACACTTTTCTCATAAATACTCTTGTGCTCAAAATAGTTTTTATTGACTTCCTCTTCTGGAGAAAAAATATGGTAAAATTGCCAGCATATTATTTGTAAATTCTGAAGCCTGAGATACTGCTTTAAATTATAATTTAAAATTTAAAATAATTATAAAAATGGTTAAAATAAAAAGAACCAAGTCAATGCCATTGATTTTTTCTTTTATGTATTGGAAGGGTTTGAACTTTGAATTCTTAATCCATACATACACCTTATGCCATTCTTATTAGTTGAGCTAGTCTCAGGTAGCCATGGTGCTAATTAGATGTGACGTCAAATTGTAACTCCTAAAATTATTAAAAAAAGAGTTATAATTCAAGTAAAGAGTTGCTTGAGCTAGCCTATGAAGCGGCGCTCACATTCCACAGCCATCTATCCGCGGGCTCAATGCCAATGCAACTCACTATTCAATTTCAATCAGCTTATTTAACTCATTTATATATATCACTCCACACTTTTATTTAGATCTTTCAGCATATTTTATTCATTTAGATTTTTTCATGCATTGTCCTTTCAAGTTTCATTTCATACAATTTTGTTTTATTTCTTTATTTGGTGTATTTTAGTTTACATGTGAAAAATTGTAGTGAGGATCCTACACACTGGAATGTTTGATTATAAATCAATCAGATTCCTAATAAAACTTCAAATTCGGACCTCTAACAAAATTTTAATAACATATCATATATTTATTTATAATAAAATATTTTTTATTGATTGACATGAGAGTCATAATTGACTTTTATAAATTATCAACTAACGTTATAAATACATTCAAATATTATTTATTAATTTTTTAAATGACTTATCTATATATCAGTAGTAAAGAATTGCAAGTAATTGATTTGTAATTTATAATTAATTCTCATGAATTATAAATTGATATTATAAATAATTTTAAGTATATATTTTAAATTTTTTAAATGGTTTTATTTATTTCGACAGCAAAAAGCCATGAGTTATTGGCTTATTACTCATAATTAACTTTGATAAATTATTAACTGATATTATAAATAATTACAAGTATATTTTATTAATTTTTAAATAATTTATATGTATATTGGTAACAAAAAAAATTTTGATTCATAATTAATTTAAATAAATTTTTTAATGACATTAAACAATCACAAATATATTTTGTTAATTTTTTATTTGACTATTCATATTTTTTTAATTATAAATATAATTATAATTTACTATTTTTTTAATAATTTAAAATTTATAATTATAATTCATATTCTCATAAAATTCAAAAATTTTTTTTATTAAATTGAATGTAGTAGGTTATTTATAATTTTTTAATTAAAATATTTTAAGTCATTTGAAGAAAATTTATGAGACATACTTTTAATTAATTTTATTTTTATAATAAATATGTATTTATTTTTATTTTTTAATATTATTATTATATTAAAATTAATTTTATTTAATATCATTTGAATATTATATTTTCGTTGAACTGATGATAATTAATGATGTGACCTGACTTATTTAAAAATTTCTTGAGACCCCTCATTCTCACTAAAAGAAAAAAAATCCAAGAAACTATTTAAGGGAAAGGGCCGTCAGCAGTTTTTGTTAGTCAGTAGATACACCGGAGAACTCCCAGGTTTCAGCTCTCCGATGGATCCCCTTTCTGCCCTGAGGGACTTCACCATTCGAGGCGAGTTGGAGAAGATAGTTCGGTTCGGCGGCGAGTTCCGATTCGGTAATGAATACTCTTTTCCTTGCAACGTCGAGACTGCTTACCGCTCAACCAAGGGCAACCGTTACACCCTCGAAACCCTAGTTCATTACATCAAGAATCACCATCTTAAGCACACCGATTACATCCAGAACACCGTCTCCCTTGGAATCCCTTCCGTTACATTTCCAGACCGAAAACCCCTCCTCGAATATCTTCAGGGTAAGATATCCTCCACCGATTCCATCGAGTACCGTCCCGAAGAGCCTGCATTTGCTCCGAATCGTGTCAGCACCGACTTCGCAGCTGTGCCGGATGACAAGAAATTGGATTTCATGTCGATGATTAGGGCGGCTGAAAGACCGTTGAAGGACCGTGAGGCCTTGCTGGAATGCAAAAATAGGGATTTCTACAGCGTTTTGGTTGCAGCGACGAAGCGCGAAGAGGAGAGGCAGAGGATCGAATCGCAGCAGAGAAAAGACGGGCTTGTTGCTAAGAGTCGGTTGATGGGGGCGGATGAGCGGGGTTTAGGGTTTGGAGATGACCTAGGGTACGATTCTACTCCAAAACCCAAAATGCACTTGAAGGGTAGCAAAATAGGGGAAGGAGTGCCGATAATTTTGGTGCCCAGTGCATTTCAGACGCTGATTACCATCTACAATGTGAAGGAGTTTTTGGAGGATGGGGTTTATATACCGACTGACGTCAAGGTGAAGCAGATGAAGGGGGCAAGGCCAGATTGCGTGACGGTGCAGAAGAAGCTTAGCAGGGACAGGGTGGTCACTGCTTATGAAGTGAGGGACAAGCCCTCTACACTCAAAGCGGAGGACTGGGATCGGGTGGTTGCAGTTTTTGTGTTGGGCAAAGAATGGCAGTTTAAGGACTGGCCTTTCAAAGACCACGTTGAAATATTCAACAAGAGTGAGTTGAAATTTGCGTTGTTATGTAATTTTCTTTATTCAACAAATGGAATCGTCGCTACAATTCGAGTATAGTTGTGTTTATTTATCTGCAAAAAATTTTGGTTGAGTTGAAGCTAGTTGTAACAATCTGTTAATGTTCTAGCAGTTATTGGATTTTATATGCGTTTTGAAGATGACAGTTTGGAGTCAGCAAAGAATGTAAAGCAGTGGAATGTAAAGATAATTTCGGTGGGTTTCTTCTTTCTTGTGCCCCTTACTGTTGGTTGATGATTTTTATTTTATAATATCGATTTAGTATCTTCATCTTTTTTCCAGCTCTAACAGTCACTTTGAGCATAAATTTCATACTTGTTGGCAGATAAGTAAGAACAAACGACACCAAGACAGGGCTGCAGCATTGGAGGTGTGGGATAGACTAGAAGAATTTGTTCGTTCAAGAACACATTCTTGATGTGTAACTTCTCAAGGGATCGTAACTTTTGTTATCAAGCTGCTTGTTCTGAGTATTGAATATGACAAATTTTTGGTAATGCCTTATGCTGTTCTTATAAATGAACAGTTCGTATGAGTTTTTAGTTGCTTCAAATTTGGTGGAGTTTGCTTCTTTAACAAATTTCCTGGCTTTGTACAAAGAGGGAGAAATATAGTCGTATTTGTTCTGTATAACTAATTTACATGCTAACAATTGTAGAAAACTTTGATTTTATTCAGGTATTTTTGTGTGTATAATCAGAGTTTTATATTTCTGTCTACCGTACGATTCTTTATTTTGTTTTGTTGAGATGGACACATAATTTCTTGATACCTCTGTCACATTTATGTGAGAGATAGATTCCGATGCACAGGGGTATCTGAAGCCTTTAGCTGTCGTTAATTTTACATGGAAGCTTGAATGTACTTTCGCTTTTAGGTTATCTAATGGAATATTAAATTTTTCGTTATTGTCTGCACCCTTTACTTTCATTCCCATTTAACCGAATTTGTATAGAATAGAAACACAAGAGAAAGATCTTTATCCACAAGAAGAGGGAGGGAGAGGGAGGTATGTAAATCTAGTGTCTAATTAACATGTCAAAATCTTGGACAATTTCAAGATATGTTTTGATGAGATGGCCAAAATAAAAGGTGCTGTTGATGAGAAATGCAGTATAATACAGCTTTGTAGCAGACAGCATCCTAAAAATACTCTTTTTTGTCCGCACTTCCGGCGAGTGTTTTAACTCTAGCATTTCACACAGTGAGGGTGCAGTTTTAGCATAATTTGTAATCTGTAATCTATTGATTGCAACACAAGGCGTATATTGAGCGTATCTTTTATTTTTTGATACTATGGAAGCCAAGTTACAAATTTGTGGAACACAAGTTTTTTATTGCGATCAAAATTTAGAGAAGAGGTCATAGAATTGTGCTGCTGTGCACGTCCAGCATTCCGAGGACATTGGTTGGGTGGATTCATAATTTGGTTTTTATTTTCTCTTAGTATACGGTGAGGTATTAAAACCTTAATAGTCTGATCTAAATATGCATGTCCTTTCTTTCCCATCTTTGGTAGGGATGACTGAAATCTGCTGGTGCTGTTATGGCTGTTCGAGGGAAGGCGACGAATGCTCATATGCGGTTTACTAGAACAAGTGTTGTAGGAATGGGGACTTTACTTTCCAGTTTACACACTAACCCACCAAATCAAATGGAGCGGGTGAAAAGAGACATAATTCAATGAGAGCAAAAGATGAGGGAGAAGTTTTATCATTGCTACTGGGTTATTTTAGTTATATGGTTTATACTGAACTTCACTTGTTCATGTTGCTGCTCTGAAGTGCTTCCAGTCCCTTCATGTATATGATCTAAATGGAGTGAAATATAGTTCTCTGAGGAACTCTTGAATTTGTTTTTCTGTAATTTTTTGTTAATCTATCAGAAGTACTAGGCTGTAGGAAAACCTTTTGTTTGATTTGATAGGATTAAATCGGAACTTGCCACAATAGGATTATATTCTTCCAAAGGAAACAAGCGCTAGGAATCTACAGGCATTTGTTGTAAAATGCTTTACTGAGTTATGCCAAAAAGTTCGGGACTTGTTTTATTTAAATAGTTGATGTAATATCAGAACTTCGGTATTCTAGCGAAAGTTCAGCAGAAACCAGACATTTAACTTGGTGCTTGTCTACACAAATATCTTGTCATACACAAATATCTTGTCATAAACCTTAACGATATGTGTGATGTTAATTTGGTGATGAGATCAGAGCAGGAAATGAAAGGCTCGAGGCATCTTTATTGATAAAGGGAAGAGAAACACAAGTCTCTTAACAATACAAAACTATGAAAAATCACAAAAACGAATGAGAATTATTGAACTCTTCGAGCTAGAGGAATTCAATACTATCTGGACACAAGAACACTCGTATCAATAGCATGTCCAAGGTGGAATATATGTGGCTGAAAGAATCAGTATGTCCTGAAAGCGGAAGCATATGCTGCGGCAGAAGCAATGAAGACGAGAGGAATGGATAACTGGATCGAATTCCCGTGGGACGAGCCATTATCCGGCGAGGGCACATCTTTAGATCCAGTCCCTGAAATAACATGAACAACCGAGAAATTGAGACCAGAATATACTCCCTGTATTATCCTTCAAAGGGATGAATACGAAGACTATGCATGTACCTGATGGAGCTGAGTTGGGAGAGTCTGCATCTGGGGAGCCCGCTGGTGAAGCAGCTGCCGCCAACCCATAGCTCATGTTAGCTTAGAGACACGAATTATAATAGGGAGCAATGAATGAAGAGATGCTGCTTATATCCTTCAATGATTTATTTGATGGTATTAATACATATATGAAGAGAAGGTCTGACCTTTGCACTGTGAGGTCGGTGGGGTCTGAACCTTGCAGGCAGAAGGCAGGGCCAGAGCCTGGGTCTGGTTGATGTTGATGCCGAGAGAGGAGCCACCGCCGCTGAGGACTTGACACAGGCACTGTGGTTGGGAGCGAACCACGCTGCTGAGCTGAGAGCAGCACGACGATGAAGGCGTGGAGGAGTTGCCTTGTATGTAATTCAGGCACGGCGACAGGCTCACCAACACGTTTGTGCAGCTGGACTGTGCAGCAGCCCCTGCACACAACATGCCCACCATTACCACCACCATGAGCGCACACATGCGAGCCATATCTGCTGTGAAGCGACAAGAGGATGCGGTGATTGCTTGTGGGAGAGAGGTTTTTGTAGGCAGAGGACTGAGGACGCAGAGAAACAGACAAAGAGACGAAGGGTGGAGTTCAGTTATATGTGGGTGAACTACTCCTCCTACCTTTTCTAACAGCTACTGTTTGGTCTTTCGCTGTGTTCAAACGCCGAGAATTTGACACCTGTTCAGACGACGTCGCTTCGTTGCACTTGCACCGCTCCTCAAGCTTTTTGACTTGTCTCGTTACGTGCCCTCCCTGCTCTTCTGACTTGTAAGCCTGCGATTTTCTTGGAATGGAATGGAATGAAATGAACCATTGAATCCACACCTGCTGGTTCTCCTCTTTCTTCTTAACCAAATGACGACGAATATAATTATTTTAATATTAGCTCGCCGTTAGGAAACCTATAACTTTAATAATTACTGCCATATTTATCATCGTTCTTCAATACACGTGTCTATCAAAAGCAAAAGTAAAATTCTTATTTTAGACTTTGAACTCAGCCATAAGCAAAGAAGCTGTATTTCATTCAGAATCTGAAACCAATCAACACGCAATTTACAATTTCTTAGGTGAAAGGTCCCTGGGTTCAACAACACATGAACGTGAGGCGTCGAAATCTCAAAACTATAACTGTCCATGTGGAGAAGTTCGGCACAGCTGCGTAACGTGCACAGCTAGACTAACTCAAGTCTCATGGTTAGCAGTTCTTTGAAGACAACATAGAATCGGTCCATGGAATTGAAAATAGGAAAAATGACAATTAAGGCCTTTGATAATTCATTGATTCCAATTGCAATCTTTAATTATTGAAATCTTATTGAAGAGTCAGATGCAGGCAACCTCGTTCTCAAGCAGATTATTTACTTTTCACAAGTAGTTTATCTATGTGATTTTAGTACTCTCTCAATTTTCAAATATAATAAAAAATAATCAATTCACATAGATTAAAAAAATTAGTTAAATATAATAATTATATCTTAAACTAAAAAAAATTGGACTAAATTATCTCTCTAACGGTAACTAATGAAACAAATTTGACTATTGAAATTAAATATTGATTTTATAATGGGTAATTTTGAAAAAAGGTGGTGAATACTCCTTGAAGTGTGTAGTCTTACTTGTAAATAAAAATAATCAACAAAAAGACACATGATATTTTCTGTTATACGTGAAAACGGAAAGAGTATTCTACTTGTGAAAAAAGTTAAAATTACTTCCATAAGTTATGAATGACACTGCTGAAATTATATATAATCGATTGTAAAGTTAAGGTAAACCTCTTGAACAAAAACCAGATAATCCACTTAGAAATGGGATTGTCTTCTGGCGGTCCTTCAATGAAGTTTTTAAAAAATGACCTTGTTGGTTTGATCTATTCAATCCAATTACTATATGGAATTTGCAAAGTTAAAATTAAATTATATTTTTCATAACTTGTGAGTAATACTACCTCTGGTAATGTTTAGGAATATATTGATATTGGTAATTTAAACGATTCAAATTGAATCCAGTCGAATAAAAAGACAAAACAAATTTTCAATGACATTTAGTCATTGAGACGGCTTGGGCTTAATCCCACCCATGTACATCCCTGCTAACAATTATTAGTCCTTCTCATGGAATCTTTGACAAGGCAAGAGTTCGGATCTACAAAGTTCTTTTAAAAAAAAAATTGGGCCCAGAATTGATCTGGTAATTGAACTTCATTATTATATTATAATATTTGCAAACCATCAAACTGGATTTTAAAATTGCCAACCCCAAGAATCGGGGATTGAAATTGCACGGTTTTTGATCGACAATTGAAATTGGAGACAAATGTAAAAAAGTCCCTTGTGAAATTTAAAGTGAAAAGGTTGGGCTCGATTACTTTGTGGCCTTATATTATTAAGCTTTTAGTCATTTTCAATTTTAATTTTAAGCAGTTTTTTTTAATATTATGGTTTGAACTCTAACTGCGTGTTTGGTTTTTAGTTGCCAAAAATTTATTTAATAAAAATTAATTTAATAAAAGTTAGTTATTATAATAAAATTTATATTTAAATATATTTTTTTAAAAGTTATTTTAAAAAAGTGAAAGTTATTTAGATTAATGATGATTTGTATTTTTTAAATATACTTTTGCATTTGTAATAGTCAAAAAGACATTGATTTATGATAATTGATTATTTTTATCATACAGATAAAACATATTAAAAATGTTTAAAAAATGTAAAAAAAATTAAATTAACAAAATTAAATAAATTAAATAATAAGAATAAAATATATATAGTTTAATGTTGGAAAAAAATTAAAACATAATAAGAATATCATGGTCATTTATAAAAGTAAGTAAAACCCAACTCCCACTTAAAATTTTAAATCCACCAAAAAGTTAAGCTGTGAAATTCACTTTTTAACCCACTTTTAAAAAGTTATTTTGTTCACATAAAAATATCCAAACAACATTTAACATTTAAAATGTTAAAAAGTGAAGTAAATCTAAAATGTTAAATGTTGAAAGTCCAAACCCCCCTTAAAGCTTCACTCACATCTCACCCAACCCTAAAGGTAGCCTCAGCTCTCTATTTTAAGCAATTTTTTTTACTTTAATTTAATTTTAAGAAATCAATAAGAGATCTGTACAAGTGCCCTTTTAGACATTATGTATGGGAAGCTCAAATGAATAAGAATTGTTGTTTTTCCCCCTCTTAACTTTTGTTTGTTCTTTTCGGTTGATTTCGTATGAATCGCTGCATAAGAAGAACCATTGTAGTTTTAAACTAAAAATTATCGTAAAATGGAATCAATAAAAAAGAAATTTCAAGATAAATTAAATCTGTCAAATGGTAGGATTAAAAAAAACATACAAGAGCATTTTTTTAATAGAGTTCACAATTAATTGATTCAATCTCCTCATAATACTGATCTTAGATTTTCTCCATTGAATATTTCCTAGATAACATATGAAAAGAATTCTCAATTTTGATGGTGTTCGAGTGAGGATAGATCCGCAAGCTGTGATTTCATTAAATTTACATATCAGTAGTGATTTAATGGCTCAACCCGACCTCACTCTCTGTCCAAAAGTAGAAAAGTTGTGGGTTAAATCAAGAGGCTGATTTCTGTTCTTATCATGACAATGACAATACTAGCTCTTATAGATGGAATTCTACCAGTGTTGTTATTTCTTTGTTTTTTTTTTTTAAGTTTAGGTGAGTTAGGTTGGGTTCAGAATATTTATTAAGATCAAAGCATGTCTTTAAACTCAAAAAACACTTATAAATTATTTATCAATAAGATTTTTATATCGACAATAAGATTTAATCCCATGACCTTATAAATTATAAGCAAAATCAATATTAATTGGACTAACTCTTTTTTATTGTGTTGATATTATTGATGAAGATTAACCAGAAGTCCCATTTGCTCCATACTCTCCACCTATGAATGCAATAAACAGTCATTCAAAGTGTTTCATTTCTTCTAGATAATGCTATATATGTATATATATGTATATGTATGTTAACTTCTTTTTTCCCCCTTTCTTTTCTTGCTTTTTTGATAAAATATGTAAGTCAAGTTTGATAAGACACCAATTACACTAATCTCATAAGTTGATTGATCAATTGTGCTGCTTTAGTAACCGTATATTGACTGGAACATTCTTCATCAAGGTAAAATTTCAGGATGGTCTAATAAAAATTGATATTAAATATTTAAGGAGGATTGGGTAAATGACCAAGCTAGCAGGTGATCAAAGAAGTTACCAATTAAACATGAAAAATGACAATAAAATTTCATCAAACTATAAAAATGATAATCAAATCTCCTCAAAATATCATAATTCTTCTAAAATTCATGGTTATTTCTTTGACATTAATAATTTTAAGTTAAATAACTATATTGCCCCATGTTTATAAAAAAAAAACATCTCTAGCTCCATTTTTCAAATCATACCTTTGTTTAAACAATTATAATTTTTATTTTGTGAATCGGTAAAATTAAACAAGAAAGCACAATTTTTAAGTAAAATATTTTTTATAATTAATAAATAAATTTTAAAAATAACTAGTCCTAGTCACAATTTTATTTAGGCAATCACAATTTTAATTATGTGAATTGTAAAAATTAAACAAAAAATTATAACTTCCCACATAAATTTCTTTTATTATTGAAATTCAAGTTTTAAAAATAATTAATCCTAACTTTTGTCTGATCAATAACAATTTGTATTCTATAAAATAGCAAGAATTGAATCAGAAATTATAACTTTCATGTAATTTTTTTAAAATCATTGAAGTCTACATTTTGAAAATAAACAGTTATAATTTTTATTTAAATAATCACAACTTTCATTTTGTGAATTAAAAATTTAAATAAAAAATTATAACTTCTCATATACACCCGTTATTTTTTATTTTAAATAAAGAATAATTTAGTCATTCAGTATAAAGTCATTACTATTAAAAAAGTACTTAAGGACTTAAATTATGACATTTTTAGGGATCTAATTATCATTTATATTTATATATTTTGATAAAATTTTATTATTATTTTTCCATTAAACATTACGTGAGACCAAAATGAGGTTAAGAAGTTTCAGGTGCCACCTGTTGAGTGTAACTTGTTTTGTTAAACTGGTTTCTTTGAAGGTCACATAATTAACGCTTTCAATTAACTCTTTCGTATCTGCCAAATAACACTTGAGTTCTCGAAACCCAACCCCAACCGCAGAGCCTTTCTTTTTCACTTCCATAAATCCCCTCACATTCTCTAACCCAATCATCAAAATTCCAAAATCCCATTTTGGCCTAACGTTTTTAATCAAACCCCACAAAGCCAAAACTGAAAAAGGGAATATCTAGAGATGAAGGGCTTAGTGTTTCTGATATTAACTATCAATATAGCCATGGCTGCACCTGCACCTGCATCATCCAATGCTGAGACTAGGATTCCATGTGGCGCTTTCTCAATGCTTACCAGTTTCATTTCTTATATGAATTTCCTGATAAATAGCAATCCCAATGAGTCCTTACCAACTAGCCAGTGCTGCAAAGCCTCCAGGTCCCTTAGAGATGGTGGCATGGACTGCTTTTGTCTTTTTCTCAATGGCACTGCTCCTTCATCTTTCTAAGCAACAGAATTTTGGCAATTTATTTATTATGTTCATCATTAATGCTAACATGTCCTCTCATCTGCTCTTTATCATTTGCAGCCAATGGTTCATTGCTTCCTGCTGCTTCAGGTGCTGTTACTAGGCACTTTTTTCCTTGCAATCTTTTGATCAAGTCAACAAATTACTGGTCTACTCAAAAGCAGGATGTTCATGTTAAGCCTAGGAAACTTCAAAACGAAATTCTTACCATCTAGTCTTGAGAAATTGACATCATTAGAATTTGAACTTGTGACACACATCATTACTTTTATCGGACAAATCAATTAATTACTGTTGCTGTTTTGTGTTGTTATACATGATATTGATAGGACCAGTATCGGTTGGCAATCTCCATCAACTCCCTCTCCCTCTGAAGTACTTCATCAACACCATCTTAAAGGTACTTCTCGATAGTAAGAAACAACAAAAAACTTGATTTTTTTTGTTAAGGCATAAATATATCAGTTTTGAGTACTGATCTTTCTGAAGTTTGATACTGGCAGATGCAACATTGCTTATGAATCCACCTTCTTCTCCATCAGTTGTTTCTAATACTCCATCATCTGCAATGGCTTCAGGAAGCTATTCTCAACTCATTCCATCATCGTCCATGCTATCTTACACTGTCTCTCCTTCCTTTCTTGTGATTGCACTTGGACTCGTTGTTCTAGACTACTATTAGTTTTGTCTGTGTACATGTGTTCTGATATACGCCTTTATATCATCACTTTGAAATTTCATCATATTGCTTCATTTCCACATTGGGAAGTCATTAACACAAGGCTTTATTTAGTTCTTAAATATTCAAATAACAAAAGGATACTTTTTATGGTAGAGCTGAAGTCGTGTGGCTGGTCCCACTTTTACATTCTTACTACAAGGGGGTTCAGTCCTGTGAGTCTAAAAAATCAGCTGACTTGCCGCGAGAACGACAGTAAAGACTAAAGACGAGCGGGAGTAGCTATTCCGAGTCCGAAGCACCCTTTATGACGTGAATATTAATCCAGAGCACTATCCATAAAATATTGATATTGACATTTGTCGGTCTATTTTTTTTTTTTGAAAAAAATGTCTTGTTTTTGTGATGAAAACAGACAGATTGTCTTGTTTAATCCACCTAGCCTCAGAGTCAGTTCGGATTTGGAATTGCTTAACCCATGTAAAACTGGATTGACCCAACCAACTCATTTTTCCCTCAACTAATGTGCCCAACCTGAACCTATGAATTAGCACATATTCTTAGCTCCATCCTGCTTGAGTTAATAGTTTAGTATATTTTTTATACCGAAAAAAGAAGTTTAGTATAATTCTTAATCAAATATGTTTTTGTTGGTAGAAATCAAATATGTTATTTTTCATGTCATTCAATTTTACAATATACATGATGAAACATTAAACACAGTCTATCCTCAGCACTGTCATCTCTGGTCCTTTACAATGTAACAAAATGACTCTAAATTTCCCAGCATGTTCCTGCCCAACATATGTATAAATATAATGTCATTGCGAATCATCACGATTGTGCTGAAAATTCTCGGGTTTCTTTTCCTTTTCTATAGGCCCTGTAAAATTCACACCTTAAAAGAGTTTTTTTTTTTTAAGAAAAAAATAATGATATCTATAAAGAGTTACCTCCACGCAAAATTCAGGTCGGACTGACATGTAGTCGTTTTGCAGTTGCTTTCCTTTTCATCCAAAAGATATCAGGTTGGGCTGAAGGTGTGCCTAATGAAGCTCGAGATGCTCGTCTCGGGGTAAACCCAGGAAGAATTTTAATAAATAATTAAAGTTACAAAAAAATGCAATCAATATATTATTAAAAATAACTATTTGTAAATATTAAAACAAACATAACCGTGATATACTGTATATGATATATAATCATATCTAATTAATAAATAAAAAGTACATAAATTATAAATCATAGAAACATAAAACCAAAGCTAGGGAAACTCATAGGCAAAAGAAAGTAGCTTATTGTCGCGGCCTTAAAACTTTTCTGTTCTTGAACCATGTCGGCCTTAGTATGATTAATCTCTTGATCCTAATTTAATTAGCCGAACTTTCAAAATGTAGGCAAAAAAATTAAGAAACTTGAATACAAGAAAGAAGAAAGCTTCGACGAGAGAACTTTAAAGCTTTATTGATATGTTTGAGCTTACAAATGAGAGATTGTGGGAGTATTTATAGATCTTTTCCTTTTCTCTAAAAAATTCTTACTTCATTGATGGATAGTAGAGATCAATCTAATCATACGATTTACATTCATCTTCTAGAGTGTTTCATAAAAACATCTACATTTATAAGGATATTTTTAGAGAATAACCTTTAAGATATGTGTGAAATATTTTAGAACATTCTAAAATATTTTAAAATATTTTAAATATCTCGACATTCCTCCATAAATTTTTAAAATTTTTTAAAAACTTTTAAATCTTTTTAGATTTTTTTAGATAATTCTAGATTGTTTTAGATGCTTGTAGAACATTTTAGAACATATTGAATCTTTCTTAAAAGCTCTGAAATTTTTTCCATTATCCTAAAAGTCTTTAAAAATTTTACAACCTTATGAGTTCTTTTACACCTGAACATAAGTTGTGACATTATGCTCAAACCAAGGTTAAGGGATTAGAAGCTAAATTTCTGAACTTCACCTTATATATAACCTATGTTTGGGTCTGGTTTCATTTTTCCCCCTTTGAAAGGGATTAGATAGACACGCCTAACCTAATCTAATATAACCTATGTTCGGCCCAAAAAAAAAAAACAGACGCCTAACCTAATCTAATATTCCTTTCATACAGAGGATGGTGACATACACATACATTCTCGTCATAATCACACACCTACCCGTATATTGATCACATGGAATTTAGAATCTACAACGAACCTCTTTCTAAGAAGTATAGGGTACGGTCAAGCCAAAAGGCTCTTGGTGATGTGATGTAAACAACGACAAAGTGTGGTGGTAAATATGGAGAGAAAATTAACTGATGAGACCTATTTTGTGAAAATTACTTCGATGGACAAGAGTTTAATATATATATATATATATATATCTCTCTCTCTCTCTCTCTCTCTCTCTAAAGGTTACTAATGATAAAAGCTCTTTATTTCACTCATATATTTGTGCAGTTTAAGTGGTAAATAGTGTTAAATATCCCTCTAATCTTAAAACTGCACTATGACAAATATTTGCAATTCGATAAGAAAATTGTGACGAGTGGGTGGCAAGTTTGAAATGCGTTCTTATATTTAATTTGTATTATCACGTTGGATTATGGGTGAGGCTGTAAATTCAAATCATTAGCTCCCCGGTATAATTAAAATAAAAGGATAAAAAAGTAAATAGAATGTTTAGAATTCTAAATTTATTTTTAATAAAATGTTCTCCTTTAATTAAACGGTATAATTTGACTCTTTCTATAATTTTTAAAATATTTTTCTGTCATTTTTTGATTAATTAATCATTAACGTTTATTTTTATTAACAGTAGGAAATAGATTATACTAGATTATACTGATTTTAAAAGTAAAAAGTGAATATTACCAAAAAAAATGAATTTATAATTTCAATCTTTCAGACACTTTTGAATTCATAATTCAAAGATGAGGGATCAATTTACCATTTATTCCTAAAAAAAAATGAATGATGCAATTCTTAATGCTCATGAAAATGCTAGCCATGGGAAAACAAGTTGCGAGCAAACCCATGGGCAGCTCGTGTGGGCTAGCTAATAAGAGTGTTACTTTTCTTGCAAAATTAAATACTAAATTTGCCTAAGTGTAGCCCAAGGTGCAATTTAGATCATTTCCCTTAGAGTGGCCAAATAGCTTAGTGAGGTTATCGAGGTGTTAAAAGTTACCTAATGTAGTGAAAGTTTGATTAAGCTAAACTAACAAAATGCTAAGCTACTATAAAGTGAGTGTGATCCCCTACGAGTAAGATGAAATCCTAGAGAATGGATTGGTGGAAGAATCACTGTCTTACATTGATTATGACAATTACTAGTTGACTCTTCTCTTGGCTGAAATAAACAACCTAGAAGAGTATCTTAGATTATTCAATATAGTTGATTCAATTTCCTAAGTTATTAGCTAATGTTCTTAGTTCATTTCCCTAATTTAATTTAAAATTGACCAAGTGTTCTAATTGATCCTCTCTATGTGAGTCATGGGATAAGTGTTAGATTAAGTCCCAAAACTATGAAAAACCCTCTCTAATAGAAGTCTAAAATTATCCCATAAGACTATGCATGGTAATCGAGACAATCATCAATGATAAAATATAAAACTATGCTATTTCACATTGATGGCCGAATAATATATCATAAATTCAAAAGAGACGAATCAATTAAACAAGCATTCTCATTACATAAAGATGAATTCAAGCTAGAATTACAAACCAATAAAGAATTAACCTTAGACTAAGGTACTAAATCATCAAATAAAATGAGAAAAGCTCTCATTACATAAAGATGAATTCAAGCTAGAATTACAAACCAATAAAGAATTAACCTTAGACTAAGGTACTAAATCATCAAATAAAATGAGAAAAGCTAGGACACTAGAAAGTTTTAGCCAATTGAAGATCATAAATTCATCTTCCACTTCATCCTCCCTCTAGGATCCCTTAGAATATATAGTCTCTCATCATCATCTTCAAAGTACTAATGGTTGGCTCAATTTGACTGTACCCTTGATTTGTAATAGCCTAAAACTAATTTAAAAACTTTGATTAATTAATTAGAGGATTTAATTACTTAATTAATTATTGAGTTTGGATGACTATTCTAGCCTATTGTACCCTTTAAGGGGTTAAAAAGTAAGGCTTAAGGGGCTTTTAGGCCAAATTAGGCCCAGAAATTGGGCCTAAGTAAAGTTGCCTCCTTTTGACTATTTGTCAAGGTGAATAATGCAGCTCGTCACATGCGAGCATGACAAAAACCCTATTTACAAATATCTACCCACATTAATAAATTCCTTTTATAAAAAGCAACCCATACTAATAAACCCTTTTACAAAAAAGAACACATACCAAGAAAAACTAAATTGGTTGTGTTGATGCATTCATATACAAACTCTAAAGGCATCACCATGAGGAAATGTCTGTCGAACCAACATAAACAAGTTCTTCCACTTTGACCCATTCATCCTAGGGATTGGTGTAGGCAAACCCTATTTAGCTAGGCTATATTGCAAGAGAAAAGACGTATTTGCTGTCTCAATGAACTTCTCTCTATAAATCCTAACAACTCTAGCATGCTACATTAACAAATGTAAAAAAAAAAAATAACAACTCAATGTATATCAACTAATAAATTTGTTAGCTTGAATTTTAAAATTACAGGAAAGCCAATTCACAACTCCAATATGGATGAAAATGGAGCATCAATTTTTCTTCTAATAAAACGCACACACTCTTTAGTCCACCTAAAAAATTCCAACACCTCAACTGGCATAGTTGATTTATATTACACTCAAAATGCCAATAGATAACAAATCCAACATTACATAACAAAACAATCTAAAACATATAAGTTGCTACTTGCTAGTAATCAAAATGATTACATAGCTAAATTCAAAGCCAAATTAAAATGAAACTGTTTGTACTTAAATTGTAAATTTAGAGACTCAGGCTCAACTTAACTTAATTGGCCTTAAAATAATTAACAATGAATAT